GGCAGCTCACTGATGGTTGATGGGGGCTTTCTTGTCTCCTAAGATGACACCTGCATTTCACACCTGGCCTTAATTTTCATACTGGTACTGGATAGAAAACAATGACATAGACCAGTCTTGCTGAGGGGCAGCAGGGCTGGAGCCTGTATGAGAAGTGAGGCAGCAAGTCACCTTTGGAAGACTGCTATATAATAAATCTCACATACGCTGTCATGGAGAATGTTTATTGCACCAAATAAGGTTTTATCTTGTCACTCTACATGATGATTAGAAATTGGACCTTTCTTCCAACCCTGTTCCCCCCCCACAACCCTTGAGAAGCTCTCCCTGTTCCACCCAAATCCATAAGAGCCCGTCTGTACTTTCAGTGGGAAGGGAAGAAGTTAGCAGACTCCTCATTGCTTCCTTTGCTGTCTTTAGTAGAAAAAAATAAAACAGGGGCAACAACCCCAGCCCTGCTCTGCAGAGACTGGATTTTGGGGGGAGGCCCTGCTAAAGACTGATGGGGGGGAGCAGCACCATGCTGTCCTAGGGTGTGCACACATGAAAAGGCAAATGCATCGATTGCACAGAGCTGTTTCACTCGTGGAGTTTGGCTAGTACCCAGTAAAGCACCTAATGATTAGTTCTTCAAGCTTCTCACATACTTTGACCCTTTCCAGGGCTGGTTATGATTTAACAGTCTCAGGCACATTCTGCTAGAGCACCAGTTTGTTAGCCACAGCAGGCTGGGCAAGGAAACCCTACCACTCTCCCAGCTGCTCTTTTGTTTCAGCACCATTGAAATCAGCTCACTCCCCACTCCCACCAGGATCGTCACCACCTGTTTCACCTGCAAGTCGAAAACAGATGTTTCCAGGACAGGATGGATGTCTCAGCCCTTTCAGCTTGGAGATCAGGAGAGCCAAAACAGCCTGTTGCCCCAAGGAGCTACCTTGCCTTCCCCGTTGTACCTCCCCTGGGGGCTGTACGGCCCCCAGCTGGTCTCCTGCCCCCGCTGCCCCTTCACATCAACACTGACGTTAAATCAAAGAGACATTTAAAAACACTGACTTCGTACATGATGAAGGGCCCTACACATCCCAGCCCCCTCCAGAAACACCCAGCTAATATGCAATCTGTCAGAGGACGACAACATGCTGAGCCAGCACCTAGGCCACAGCCCTCAAAACACGGTACACTTTTTGCCAGGCTTCTTCACGGGTGGTGGGCAGAGCACAGCCCGGATGGCTTCATCAAACACCGTCTTCAGGCCCCGCTGTGTCAGGGCAGAGCACTCGAGGTACTTTACTGACCCTGGGGGGAAGAGAGCTCCAGCTCAACCAGAGTCCAGTTCTACTACCATGCACCATCCCTCACCCACACACAAAGCTCAATGCCCTGGAGATCTGCCCGTGCATGAGACTCACCGATCTCCCGAGCCATGGCCAAGCCTTGGGGGTAGGTGATGGGGGCCAGCTTCTTGTCACGTAACCTTTCAATGGTGTCCTTATCATCCCTCAAGTCCAGCTTGGTGCCCACCAGGATGATAGGTGTATTTGGGCAATGGTGTCGGACCTCAGGATACCACTGAAACAGGCATGGTAAGAAAAGTAGCTATAGCAGTGGCCGAAACCGTGAGAATATTCCTACTACTGGGAGCGAGGGGTTTGCTACTATCTGACATGGTGACAACACCTGAACAAGGATACTGCTACCTACAGTTCTGAATATGCTCTGCAGAAAGAGACTGGTGCAGATGTGATAATGAAGGCACGGAGAGACAGAATCATGACAGACAGACAGTGCTAGCCAGCTCTGCACACAGCGCTTTCCCTTCACTGCATTTTGGCTTCTACGACATCCCTTATCTTTAGATGCAGATTTAGAAAGGCAAAAACTTAGCCAAAGGAGTCATGGATAAATGTAGGCCCCTCTTAAAACCTGCAGATTATGATCTTCCCTCACTAAAAGGACTACTTGAAATTTTGGGCTTGTAGGTGTGGTGCTGGGTGGGGCAGGGGACCTCACTGGTTCTTCCCTTCCACTGATTCACCCAGGAGGAGAATACTTTACCTTAGCTCTGACATTCTCAAAGGAGGCTGGACTCACAAGGGAGAAGCAGATCAAGAAAACATCCTGTGCAGAAACAAGAGGGTCAGGTGTGCAGAAAGAAACAGCTAGAGAGAACAGAGGGAGGGTGGAGAGGAAACCTGATAGGATAACCTCCTCCCACAAGCAAGAACTGTGGCTTCAAGAAATTCTTTCCCATTAAGGGTGTTAAACTAACTCAGAGGGGGAAGGAGGGGACCTTGAGCATATGACTACATCTTTCACAATGCTGGGCTCTGCATATTAAGAGCCTGCAGCCACAAACATCTTGACAGTGCTAAGGGCTGTCCTTGGGAGCTTCCTGGTCTCCAAGAGGGAGCAGTCACAAGCCAGTCCAAGTCGGGCACACTCACTGTCTGTGGATAGGAAAGAGGCCGCAGCCGGTCGTAGTCCTCTTGCCCTGCTGTATCCCAAAGGCCCAGGTTCACTGGCTTTCCATCTACCATCACATTGGCAGAGTAGTTATCAAACCTGTGAAAGAAGAGTCCCCATCAGTGATAATCTTGTTGTGACCATAATATCTCTATAAGAAATCCAAGGGGGCAGTGAATCAAGAAGGGACACAGCAGCACAGATCCAGTGAGGACAGTCTGCATTCCTCACATGCACAGCCACACCACCAGCATCATCCTCACCTGTGAAGTTCACAGTCTGATTTGGGACAGTCACCTCTTCACCTACAAAACCAACTTTTACACACACACGCATACAAATCAAAAAGCAATGGAAGCCCAAGGCAATTACTCACACGGTGGGGATGTATTCTCCTGGAAAGGCATTTGTGGTGTAACTGATCAGCAAGCAGGTCTTCCCTACAGCTCTGCAGAGGATAAGAGTGACAAGCATAAAGAAGGGTACAGCAGGAACACTGAGGAGATAAAACTCACTCTTCCTCCACCCAAAACACAAGGATAGGTAAAAAGTTACTGTGTGAGAAAACAAACCTGTAGCAGGCTGGAATTCCCTAGCAGACAGGGACCAGCCTGAACTCACAATGTGCACCTTGCCTGAGCACCTACTGACCCTGCACTCTCCCACTCCCTTTCCCCACCCATTCAGCCTCAGCAAGAAACCAGGCAAAATACAGTTGTTCCAGGAACCAAGAAAGGGAATAAATTAGGGTTGTGTGCTGAGCTCAACAAATTCATAATAATCTAGCAAAACAAGTGAAGAGTGAGGTGCAAAAACCATGCAACAACACAGAACTCTGCAAGCTCCTCAGACACAGGAATTCAGTATCAGAAAATACAAAGGGGAAAAAATAAGCGTACATAAACAAAAACTAACTTTAAAATTGACCACTGTCAGTTTGGAAAGAGATCAGTGTAGAAGGCTGAGAACACCAGCTCAGCTGAAGGCCAGAGGGACTGGTGAGCCCAGCAGAAGAGGTTGGCAGGGGCCAGGCCTGGCTGCCAACAGCATCAGCACATGGACTTCAGCCAGCCCTGTAGACTTCCTCAGGGAAAGCTTCGTTTTAAGAACAGAGCAGTACCAGCAGTGTGAGCAACCTATTTATCGCTGAGAAAGTTGTGAACCGCAGACAACCTTCCAGAAAAACAGCCCCTGAGTGGCAGTGCCAGGGAAAGCTGTCTGTGAGGTGCCTGAGTGAAGCTGAATAGCCTGCAGAATTGGGTATCCACTACCCAAGTCTGTAAATAAGGAAAGACTTCGGGAGTAAGAGAGAGACTCTGGGGGAGCCCAGAGTCCCCTGGATGCATCAGGATGACAGAAAGCATAGAGAGAACCACTACTACAACTATGACCTCTCTCCCACCAAACAGGGAAGTTCGTAATTCATGAAGAAACATATTGATGGCTGAAGTGTCTTGGTATCCAATTTTGTTAAGTCTGCATTGTCGATTTGGCCTTAAAGCAAAACACCAGACAGCAAAGCTTCAGCTGAAGTCCATTTCCAACATGCTGTGTCCCAATCTCCTCCACAACAAGGCTGTGCTATTTTGGGGGTTGGCTTTCTCCTGGTCCCCTCTTTAGCCCCCACAGCCTGGAACCTCTCACTCCAAAGGTGTATTTGAGGGGGTGGCATGCATAGGGAAGCAGAAAGACCAGTCCCTGCCTAAGACCAGTTCACATTCAGCTCTCAGTATCTCAGCCCTGCGCTTGCTGCGGTGATCGGAAACGTAAATGGGAATTGTGACGGAAAATATGCAGGATGAGCTATGAAAACTTACAAAGCACCATAAATCTAGTGCACGCCTGCATCTTGCACACAGATGTGCTCTCAGGAAAAGGCATTCAGAAAGAGCTTAAAGAGCAGAAAAAGGGTGACAAGGGGGCTGAAATCAGAAACAGCAATGCATTTCACCTCAGAACCAGCAACAAAAGGAGACACGAGAGAAACCTGCAAACATCAATATTTTCGGGAGGACTTTGTGATGAATCAAGCATGATGAAAAGCAGTGAAATGCGGGCACCTAGATAAAATGACACGGAGAGATGTAAAACCCAAGAGCAGGCGGTGTGCGCTCCGCGGGCAGCTCGATGGGGCTGGGGGACGGAGAGCGGGTCCGTGCGCGCAGGAGGAGCGGGACGAGCCGG